CCCCACCTATTTCTCCCCTCTACGAAACCTACACGTGGTAGTAGCCTATCTTAACATAACACCACACAAATCAGCCGTCAAATCCAAACTGGGACCGGCCCCACACAGCGGGTGCCCCTGAAGTGGCCCAGGCTGAGCTCATGAAGACACTTCCCCAGAAAAAATATGTGACAAGCAAGTCTCCTGTTGGTATCACTTGTCACACTAATAAGAACAGATACTACACTTCCAAGGCAAAATGCCTGCGAGTCCAATCACTGCAGCTGACACTTTGAACCCTTCATTTCCCACCTATATTTCCCACCTATTTCTCCAACCCCCCCACCCTCTCAGAATAGGTGGCCCTGCGACCCGAAAATAGGTGCCACCGGGGGTAACCCCCCCTGGTCCCACCGATTTTAAGTGGGCCCTGTGGCACTGCAAATGCTACCATGGCTGGTTCTCCTGCTGGCACAAACGCTGCCATCCAAACAGCCCTGCACGTTTAGCTGCCGCTCTAAAATCAGTTTCCAATACAGTTCGGACAAACATTGACAAGCTGCGTTACTACCTCGACTACTTTCAACCGTCGCCGCTACTCTCCTCACTCCCGTTCTTCGCATGTCCGATCACCCTGTTACCGTCGTTAGTTCCACGATGCTGCTCATTGATGTCGCGCGTAGGGCCGTGGCCAGGGCAAGGAGCCTTTGAGGAAGTAGAGCAAAACCTGAGGGGACACCCTCAGCACCCATGATATGCCCCTTTGTGCAATCACAAAGGTCATCACTTTGTCCGACGTTCTTGTCATATGTGCGATTGGTATAACAAGTAACAAGTAATAATGGACATACTCAAGGCTGGTACTGTCCACAGAAGCTGTGGTCGTCGTAACCACGATCAACAGCTCAAGAAGCACTTCAAGGCTCCGGCAAAGCCGATGGCTTCCAGATCGTCGCGACGACTCTGCTCGATGCCCAGGTGCGCATTCCTCTTCGCATCTCTTTGTCTGGAAACGTGTGAAATGCGGCAGGACTTGCTGGCACTCCGCTTTGCAGCTCAACGCCCAAGCTCTAGACAAATTAGACAAGTCCAATGCTTCAGCGAGTTGCAGTGAAGCATAACGGGCAGTGCCCGTCAAGTTCTTGTTTTCACGGTATGGCCTGAGCCACAATCGCTTCCGGAACATCTGTTCAGAAGGTAAGCATCGAACCGAAATATATTGTGTGCCGGGCCCGTGGACCAGAGTCTCTGGGTTTCTGTACTTCTTGGCCAGTCCGAAGTCGATTATGTACACCTCGCTGTGAACAGCCGCAAATCCGAAGTTTCAGAGCTTGCCACGTTCAGTTCCAGGCAAGGTTTGACTTCTGCCCCCGCCCAATCAAGAAATTGTCCTGCAGCCACGATTAAATAAAATGCCACAACCGTGCCAAGCTTGGGCAAGTAGAGCCAATTTTGAAAAGGCACTGGTTTTATGTCGCGGTGTATATAGTGGCGGTTGTGAAAATGCTCGATCCTCAGCAATGCAGAAAGGAGTGGCAAGCCAACACAACACCGACAAAAGCGCCAAGTCTCCGAAGAAGCAGCTGGTCAGCCAACATCAGCGTGGACTCCCACAAATTTCACGAAACGAGACCAGATGCAAGGAAGGACAGTGATCAGGTGCTGAAATGGCCGGGCCTTCAGAGACAGCTTGCGCTTGCAAAGGTTGAAGACATCTTCTAGCGATGGCCCCATCAATTCCATAGCCATGACCTCAGTTACACGCTTCGAAGGCCACGGCATGCAAACACAGCATGGTAAGCCACAGGCTGCGAAGTCTTCTTCAAAGCCAAAATAGAAAATCTGCCAAGGCCAAAACAGGTTTCCGGCAAAGGCTGCATGTGCTGTAGGCTTCGGCAAGTATGCATCTTCGTTCTGTTTCTCGGACGGTTCCCGAACCTGGCCTCTGCAACACCAGGCGATCCCTGAAGCAGCTTGAGCAGCTTGGCCTCGCCACAGGTCCATCTGATAGACCAGGACCGACAAGGACGCCAGAATCCGGCAAAGGCCGTGATAATCCAACAGTCCTGCTTTCCCAATTTCCCAATACTGAGAATCTGCACCGCGTGTCGACGACTGGCGCGGTGATTTTGGAACTGGGAAGCTTGTCACATTTTGTGATGAGTCACAATGCGTGGTTACATCCCATCGGTCGGGTGGGGCGGCATCGGCATCGGCAGCTCCTGCTTGTTTCTCGGCCTGCTTCGTGCTGGGTTCGCTGATGCTGATTCTGTCGACATCCTTCGTCCGGCCGAAAGAAAAACCCACTCCCAAGTAGCGACACGACAATTGGAGGGCCTCTTTTGATCTTCGGCCGAGGGTGGGCCGGCGTCGGCAGGTCAACGAAGAAACGCAGACAAACTTCCGACTTCCCCGTCACAACTCACCCGAGTAGTGCAAGAAGCATGCGACGGCTTAGCTGTCAATTCCGAATGCCTCGTAGATCAGCTGCGGGTGCTTCGTGTCCTGGCTACAGAATTCACTGACACCTAAGCTCATGTTTCCAAAAAGTCCTGGGTCCTTTCATAACCCTAAGGGGGGTGCAACATCTCATACTCTTGCTCCGAGACAGTTCCACTGGTTGTTTTCCGCTTGCGCCTTGACCTCAAGCTTGAGGGCCACATCGCGATCGCCCTGTTCCGAGTCCTTGGCAATGTAGATCCTCAGGGACAGCCGAAAACTCCACTCAAAGCAAGACATGTTCCTTCGTGCAAGCCCGGGGCTGGCCGAAGGACCCGCTTCCCAGCATCTTCGACAGCAAGAAGCGACCTCCTGATCCACATGCCACATTGGAGTGTGCGCCTAACCTCCCGTCAGGGCCCTAGCCATGCCCTACCACACAGCGCAGATCAAGCGGAAGGGGCCTCCAACTCGTCTTCCCTCTTGGCCCATCTCTGGGATAGAGCATCCCCCTCAGGCTCGCCACACATGGAGACGGCGTAGCTCGTCCAGCTTTCAAACCCTCAAAGGACAACGTGCTTTCACATGCTGCGCCATTAGTACTTGCAGCATGTGCAATCCAAGTGAAATTCGCATGGGGCTGTCATTGGCGATGACTTGTGGCTGGATCACTGAACCGACCGAACCTAACCAAAGAGCCCAAATGCTGCAATGAAGCATGGAGTTCCTGAAACTGCTGCACAGTCAACTGCCGTCCCTGCCGTTCGCAACCCGGGCGGCACCCCAGCTTGTATTCTGGCACCTCGAGCAAGTTCTGCCTGCAAGCAGTGACGGAACCAGCAACGTGCCAGATCCGCTCCACATCTGACGCTCGCAAGAAACAGTTGAGTGAACCACTTGGAAGTCAGGAGGAGGCCCATTTGGGAATTCTGCCTGGCAATGACGCTCCGTAGAGCACTGGATGACGACAGCAAATTGAACGGAAAGCTAGCAAGGTTCTCGTCTTCTCGACGGGCACGGATCTGCTGCTCAGGAAGGTGAAGACCTGTTGCAGCGCTTCCTCTTCAAGCGTGCGCCGCAACGGCATGCTGTCCGCCTTTCCGGCCTTGTCCCTCGAAATTCGTGATGTGTTCACGCGCAGGAAGGTCATCGCCTCTGGACGCTGAGTCTCAGTTGCCGTGTGTCTTTTACAAGGCAAGGGCCGGAAATTGAGCTGGCCACAGGCTCATTCAGTATCTCGCAAAGTTCGACCGCCACCTGCCAGCACTGCCAGCGTCCCCTTTTCGAACTCTCAGAGAGCAGCTCGAAGCCAACTTTGCCTTTGTGCCGACGTTGTCTTCCATCCGCTTGAACAATTCAGACCTCAGGTCTCTCAAGTGCTGCTTCTTGAGCCAACAGCAGTACCCCCCATGGTCCCCCCACTCCTGAACCGGGGACAAAGCGGAAAGGAGCACCTCACGTGGTGAGGAAGCTTCTTGTTCTGAGACCTGGGGGCCGCAGTCAACTTCGATAAAAGAAACCTGTGACCAAAAAGATAAGCTGGGGTTTCAGACTGCGCTCGCCACCGGTCCCCCATGAAGAAAGTGCCTAAAGTGAGCCACATCCAAGCACTTGCTTCTGCCAATTGCCCCTGGGATACCCTCGGCAGCTAAGCACCAGACGCATGCGATTGACCTTGGGGGCACTTCATCGACATCAGCTCCAGAGATATCATGCACATCGGCGCGCCCAACATTGCCCAAGTTCTCAGAGACCTTTTCGACTGCGGTCCAACAATTCACTTCCGCCAGGGCAGGTTGTCCAAGTCAACGTTGCCTGAATGAAGTCTAGACGTTCCGTCCGCCACAACTGTCTGGCTCACCACTTCGAGATACTTCGAGCTGCCGAGACACCACCACACAGCACGACCCCAATCTTCTGGAGCTCAGGATACCTTGCTAGATTCGACGGAACATAGCATCGTGACATCACGCTACATGCCAAGTGGCCGATCATAGAGCTGCTTGGATGTTGCCACGGCAACCGCCACACCACAGCCCGGCTCGATGACCTCTCAGACATGGGCTGATGTAACCTTCTGCGGCGAACAACATGTGCCTCTGCTTGAAGAACTCCATGTCTGCTTAGCTTCCGCATTGCAGAGCTATATGAGCCCACTGAGCTTTGACACAAGACCCAGACCGGACGCAGGGCAGGGTAACAAATTACGCGAGGAGATGAGGTGAGGTTTAGCCACCGAAACGCAATCGAACCGGCCAACAATCATGAGATCGTACCCTGGCACTCGAGGGGATGCCTGCTTAGCTCTCTCCAACGTGAACTTGGTAGCATCCTCGATCTCCTGTTCGGTGGCGGTAAAGACATCGTCCACCAAATCCTGGCAGGGGTCTTGGATCTAGCCACCATTCCGATATGTAGGCTGGCACCTGGACGACGGGGTACGTCGTTGGACCGAGGCTGCTCTTGACAGAATCGGCAATGGTGTCAATGACGGTGTTTGGGGGATTCTTCACCTTGGAGGACTTGCCAACGGCAGCACTGCTCGGTTACCAAATCGACAAACAGGGGTGCACGGCTGGTCTGTCGAGTGAAGATAAGCCAGAGTGCCAGCTTGCCAGCCTGCTTCGACATGAAAGCCTTGGACATGCGATGCCTCTGTGCTCCAATTCAATGCACAAGATTGCACATGCAGGCCAAATTTGCTGGCAAGGCTCGCTTCTGGCGCGCTCGGGCTCTGCACCAATCACTTTGATGGCTTTATTAACGCTTTTGACCTGTGCCGAGGCGTTGACGTAGTGGACGTGCGCAAGAGGGCATGCCACAGACTCCAGCCCTGCTAGGTCCGCAACGTATGTGGCGATTCCGGAGATCAGGCCGCCGCCCCCGATAGACACCTGACAGCCCCACAGAAGAAAGGGTGGCCCCCTGGTCCCTTTCCCCCAACTTGAGGGGAGGCCCGGCCACGATGGCATCCAGGTCGGGCTGCTGCTCCAGCAGCTCCAAAGCAACAGAGCCCTGGCCATTCACCACGCGGATGTCCTGCACCAGGCTGAAACGAGATGCTTGGTTGTGACTTCGTGCTTTTGCATGCTGCTTTGCGTTAGAGGCTTGCAGCTGGCACTCCTGGTTTGGGTGAATCTCTTCAGCCTTGTCTGCACCATGCTGCTGACGAAGGTCAGCCACAGTTTCAGCTGACATGGCCTCGCAAGCATCCATCTTGGCTCTTGACATCTCGTCACCATTCCTTGAATAGAAGTCTCCTCGGCCTCACGTGCCTCTTGCGTGGGCCTGCAAAACCTGACCTGTGCAAGGCTCCGACAGCACAGTCAGCAAGTTGACGATCCCACCAAAGTCTTGCCGCAGGCCTCTGCGCCGTAGGTGTCTCGCACTGCGCTGACTTTGACGTTGGGGGAGTCCTCTGGCATGACCACGATGGCCTCGGCATGAGGATGACTCAAAACTCTGCACTGATGCAGCAGGACCTATCAGTAACACTCAAACATTGCACCCTGGCCTTCTTCCCCAAAAGCTTGCTGCCCAGGGCTATCGCCTGCAGCAAGAAGGTACTGCCAGCTACCTTGCATTGCTGAACCAGATCTTTTGGTCGCGTGAGCAGGACAACGTCGCAACTGCCCCATCTCTAGCGCGGGACCTGGGCATGGTTGCCACTTGATTGCGTCACGATGTAGTCCTGGGTTCTGGAGTGGCGGTACCGTAACACTCTCCAACCATGCCAGCGCATTCAGCTAGGCGACCGCAGAAGACAAACCTGAATTGCAAACAACAGCGGTTGACGGACAGGATGAATCAAGGGAGAAAGCTGCCCGGTGTCAATCTAGTGGCCGATCGCATGGATGGCACCGCGAATTTTGAATGAACCCGTCTTTTGTTCATGCTCGGCCTGCACGAGAAAAGGCTCTGCGGCTGCATCTCTAAGCCCAACATGACATGATGAACACCAAAGCACGTGCCGTAAGCGTTTGAGTGCCCAAGCCTGCCTTCAGAAACAGCTTGCGTGGAGCACCACTTGAACTTGAGGCTCGATGATCCAACTGTCCACATGTGAATACCCGCCTCGGGCCCAAATCACAACATTTCTACACAGCTGGCTTCCGCCAGGTGGGCTATCGCAATCTAGTCGCGTGCGATGGACATGAGGCCGCCTGAGCTTGTCTTCAGCTGGATCAGTCTTGTCATGGGACTTGGAAGAATGCCCCGTGCAAAGCCCGCATAGGTGCACACAGAGACACAATCGAGCATAAGCCTCCTGGCTTGTAGCAACACAAGAGGCTGCTTCAAAGCATGCAGGCACACGTAGTTCAGCACAAAACCGTCCTCCACGGCCGCTGGCGTCACAAGGGACGCATCGAAGGGTGGCGTTGACATCAGCACACTGTGAAAGATGCTTCTCTCGCATGTCTCGTGGAATTGGTTTCGTCCGTTCGATTTGTCTGCCAGCAACATCCAGCAATTACAGCTCACTTGCTTCAGGGTTGCTTGTTTTCTGTTTGTTTCTAGCCAATGGCTACGGGCCACGGCTCAAAGGCTGCTGAGCTTGAGATGCCCACTCAAGGGATTTGGACCCGCACCCAGTTGTGCGGTTGTGGGGTCAAATGGTCGATCAGGCCTCGCCACCTGCCATCACCCAAGGCAAGCATGTCGCATCCACCTTCTGTATTTGCAATTTTCAAAGCTTCCTTCACACTTGCTGTGAAAGGCATACATGAGATGGAAGGCTTCTTCTGCCAGACCCTGCATGCCTATGCATCTCATAGGTCTTGTCTGCAATCCACCTGGCAAGCTTCCATCGCAAGTGCAGATTTGCGGCTGGCTGGTGTCAACCCTGTTCTTTACATCCCACGAGCAGGCATCACGCACGGTCTTTCTCGTCCAAGAACTTGTGTGCCTGCTGGCGATACTTGGACGAGTACCCAACATATCAATGGACTTCAAACTGAGAATCACCTGCCTGGAAGTACCGCCGTAAGAAGAGGTCCAGCGGAAGAGCAGGCGCCTCGGTCCTCGAGTATTGCAGAACTGAGCTTCCTGGGCCAGCAAGTGCCTCATGACAACTGCAGGTCGATGATGGCTCGGGAGTCTGCTTGCGCGTCTTGTCGAAAAGATTGAGTGCATTCCTGACCGCTCAAGGGAGTAGTTGTCAGTCAACAGCTGAAGCAGGAAATCGCAGCAAGCAACCTTTTGCTCAGCAGAGTCACTCCAAATGTCGAACGCGAGTGGCATTCATGGCATAGGCTCCGCCCGGACACGGGACACATGACACATGTCGCCAGCAATTCAAACTCATGCGTGCTCGCGTCGTTGGGTCCAAACAGGCGATCGGTGCACTACTGCTAGTGCGACCGCCTTACGTGTGCAGCAGGTTCGGTCTTGCTCGGCTGTTGCTATTGCTGCGATGGTGATTCCATGAGGGTTGCTCACTACAGCCGGGGCATGTGGAGGAGGCGAATCAGCACATGCCAAACCAGCCAAGGCAATTCAACGGCACTGCATCATAATTAACAGACAATATCGCTGAATGCTTACACACTTTTCTGAATGCGCGCGCATCTGCCGAAGCGACGCCGAGTATTCTGTGCTGCGCTTGCGGGGCGGCAGTGGGAAGACTTGCCCACGCAGGCTTAGCGGCTCGCGCCTGCCGTGAGAGATTCCACATCTCGACAGGCACTGAGGAGACTGGAATTCAGTTGTACGCCTTGCTGCATCCGGCCTCCGGGCTTCTTCAGCTGCCTCGGCGCCCTGACCAGAAGCTTACGCAATCGGTTCCGGACACATCGGACTGCTTTACTTACCGTTCGGGCACATGGCTTCGGGACCACAATCAACCCGAGTATGGCGATCGTCTGCGAGGCCGGACCGGCGCGGCTGGCATGCTCACAGACTGCCTGAAACTTCACCCTAGCTAGTTGCTTCGACCTCACTTAGCAACCACCGAAAACAGAGGTGACGGTTTCCACGGAGGGTCTGAAACCACCAGCCAGCACATGGTGTCCACCTGCTCCACGAGCTCGTCCAATCCCCAGGGCGACAGGCCTCCAGGCACCAGTGCAGCTCTCAGGCTCTTAGGGTATGCAGGCCAAAAAATCCTGCAACTCTGCTGAATCTCCACTCTCCGCATGTGCTTCCGTGACTTTGCCACACAAAGCTCTGCGGCCGTGGCCAAGTTCCTCCCTTTGCAACTTCTCCGAAACATCCATGCCTTGGGGCCGTAACATGACACAGGCAAGCAAGGGCTGTCGGCGCCAAAGCCCTTAGAGCACCACGGACAGGCGCACCCGCAAGTTTTCCAGCGAATCATGCTCACGGCCAGTCATGTGCAAGGCTTTTCGCTCCAGCCATCTCTGAAAAAGCCGACGATGCCCCAATTTTCGAATGCCCTTACCGGGGCAGTGGCTTCACCAGGTTTGACAATGCAGCGTAAAAAGTATCGAAAAAAATGCTACGAGACTTCTGAGGCACCATTTGTTGGAAGAATGCTGGGTCGAAGCAAGCTTTCTTATCAGGTCCGTGGGTCAGGTACCTTGGCTGCAACTACACGCAGGTATTGAGCTTCTTTTCCCGGGCAGCGCCCCTCAACCCTGAACCCCAAAGTCGAGCCGGCGGCCTAGAGAGAAAGGCACCGCCTGACAAGTAGATCTCATTGACGACCCCCGGAAGCTGGGTAGCTAGCCCGTTTTGGCCAGGAAGCACATCCAAGAGCTGCTGTGGGGAGTCGAAGTGGCTGGCCAGCACATCCTCTCAGATATGAGAGAGCTCTGAAGGCAGCGAAAATAGAAGACGGACCCCTTAGAGCCCCTTTAGAGCATTAGAGCCGCTGCTTCCCCGCCATCGCCTGGTACGTGCTCAGGAAGCCTTGACCATCAACATCCCGAAGCCATGCCGACAGGGTGATGGGCAGACCAAGCTCTCTGATCCAGTCGTCCATCGCGGGCTCCGGCTTCTCTTCTTTTGGCGCGGCATCAGCCTTCAAGGCTTCTAAGACCACGGTCGGAGGCCTTGCAGGCGGCTGGGGTGAGAAGTCCCGCAGTGGATCTGAGACATCATGAGAGGGGTCCAGCGGACAGCGAAAACCGCCACCAGCCGTACCAGTTTCTTCCAACTGAATCCAGCATTGCGGGCAACGAGGGCCCATGATGTGAACATCGCTGTTCTGGGCCTCGAAGGCGGTCGGGAGGCGGACTCGTGCGCAAGGATCCACGTTCGACATAGGTGGAATGGGTCCTACCAACCAAGGTCGCAATGCTTGTCGACGGCGATAATTCTGCAACCATTTCCCAAACCACTTCGGAAGAGACGGATCACTCAGATCCGCTGGTAGCGGAGTGTGCTCAGGATCATACTCGCACACACCTGACACAGGTCATTTGAGAGCAGGGCGGAGGAAAGCTAGGGGCGTGGAGGGTCGGCGGTGGTTTAGTTCCTGGGTCCTTGCTTGAATGCGACCGTTGCACCGCTCGGCGCGGGCTGTACTTCGCAGATTGCTTATTGGCACCGCGATCCAGACGAAAATCCCACGTCAATGTCTCGGCGTGACGCAGGCCCGAAGGCGAACTGGCGCCAGGCTTGTTGAAAGCAGAATAAATATGGTAATACTGCTGTCTGACTGTGGTCGCCTGCCGAATGCAATGAGATTTTTCTTTGTTTTGAGATATAATGGTAAGCTGTCTGTTTTGTATCCAGCTTCGCCCCAGCATCAAAACCGAAGACGCAACGGGCGGAGGGCCTACAGGGGGGAAAAGGGGACTTCGAAACATATAAACTGAAACGTGATTGTCTAGCTGTCGTTGTCTCGCGAATGCAACCCGATGCTGCTTTCTGTTGAGCAATAGCGGTAAGATGTCTGTTCTGTATCCAGCTTCGCCCCGTTAGAACAGCATGCATCTGTCGATGTGCTTATCTTGAGCCCCCCCCCCACTCCGCCCAATCGAAAACTAATGCCCACAAGGGGAGGGTGCGCCCCCCCTCCCCTGCAGACCTTTAAGTCCCCGCTATATCGGAAAGAGGGGGGCCTCGATGCAAGCTCCAGGAGCTAGCTTTCGTGACATCTGACAGAACAACCATGCAAAACCATGGGCTCGACGGATGACCACCGAAGTTGAGGCAAGAGGCCGCCCAGCAACGGCATGTAGCATTCCTTGCCTGTCCAGGCTCGTCTCTGCCAACTTAAAGGGTCTGGTAAGAGGCAAAAGAATTGTGCCGGGGTGCAGCAGTGTGCAAGATTCAGGTCGACTGGCATTGCATGGCACCACCATGGAGCTCAAAGCAGTCTGCAGACAGCACGAGAAAGGATCTTGCGCCCACGTCGTGTGCGCATGTGGGCCCGCCGGGCCTCCCTTCGAGCCACTGATGTGAAAGAGCACTCAAGGAAAGCTGAGTCATTTTCAAGCAAGGAAACGGAACCCACCAGCAACTGGACTGCAAATGCCGCATGTTTGCATCGCAAGCTCAGATGCAACTGTACGGCTGGCGAAACTAACATGACGGTGCCTCCCTCTGTACGACCAGAGATGCACAGCAGCACTCACGACGCAACACCCGTAGGCTCCCAAATCTGGGAGGGAGTGAAAACGCCAGAGTGCCAAGCAAAATGTACAATCCGTCTTGCATCAGATTCCGACAGACAGCTCTTATGGCCATCGGGCATCCTACCTGTCGTGGTGACGCGCTCTGTAAAGACTCCATGCGCATATCATCGTCTCACGGCTTGTGCCTTTCATCGCCCTTCCCGTTCTTCTAAATCGAACCTGAACGTGCTTCCCCTTAAAGGAACAGAGATTCGACTCCACTAAACAGGCTACCGGCAAAAGCACTGGGGCTAGTACAAAAATAATATCGTATTAAACTATCGTTGCAGGAAGTATTGCCATAACATCATAGCATCAACATGAGATGATTTTATTATGGGAGCTTCTGAGGTGAAAAAGAAATCTCTCTTTGGGCCGGGTGGCTGCTCCTGTAGCCGCCGCGCCAATGCCTCGTCCTCATCGATCACCGCCTGCATGCAGCGCCTTCTTCTCATGAATTCGGCCAGAATATTGTCAAAAAATACCATGATATCTGTTATGCTATATGATACTCCACCATATCATGTTATTATATCATATTCGCCTCGGATTGTACCATGTAGTGTAATACACTCTATTGCAATATACTATATGGCTTTAAGACGTAACATGGTAGCATTATGGTATCATGAAATTATGTTCCTATGTTATACATGTTGTACTATGTTCTACTATACTACTGTGTTATATCATGGCTTCAGTTTACGAAGGAGGTATCAAAGGTGTTCGCTCTAAACTCTGAACGTCGTGTTGTGGTAAATCTCGCAGACTTTCCAGTCGTCCGGCCTGCGTGCTTGCAGCATTCGCAGCTCCTCTACCTGGAGCTGATGTCTGGGCGTATCCATTGGTCGGAGCCTGCCATGTCGAGATTTCAATAGCTCGAGTTTTACATCCTGACTTCCTGCTCCCCACATTCAAAGAGATCCTACCGTCCTCAACCATGCACATGCAATGCAGTCCCTGCCTGTCCGGCTCTTCTCATGGCCGCCTCTGCTGCAGCCGCCCGGGCATTCCGCCGCTGGTCAACATCCGCGGCATCAGTGCCCAAGGCTCGGCCAGATCCCTCAAAGCTTCGGAAGGCCTGCCATCCAAAGCCCACTCTTCCCTCCCTTCTCAGGCCGCCTTGACAGCCTGAACCCCCGCCTCGTCCGGTCGCCCAGATGCTGTCGGCTTGGGCTCGTCACTACCAGTCATGGAGCTCACGGACTTCCTCACATCGGAGGAACGTTCAATCCCACGACTCCAAAGGCTTGCACGAGGCTCCCAAGCTCCTCATCCAGCTGCCGACACCACTCAAACCCTCTCCGACAGCAGATGCCGCCTCTTGTGCGCTTGCTCGCGCTTCGCGCGAGGAACAAAGCACAGAGAGAGGCAGAGAGAGAGAGAGAGAGAGAGAGAGATAGAAAGAGAGCTCTGCCGGTGGTATGCCACACAGGTCCGTCAAGAGTTCTGTACGAGTACAGTGGCACTTCTCCGCACCTCTCCGATCTTTGCCCCAGCACCACTCGCCACCTCGCCAAGCCGCTCCCCAACGCCAGGGGCACTCGGCGCGGATGCAGAGGACGCCTGCTACAGATATCTTCCTGTGCATCTCTTGTACTTGCTGCGGCACTTCCCAGCCTGCAGAGGGGCAGTTGGCTCATCACCACTTCCCAACCGGCCGCCACCCCAATTTTGGTGGCCCATCTGCCGAACATTCGCAGCTTCCTGATGAGCAGCCAGGCACACGGCGCACAACGAGCACTGCAACGCCCTGCAGCCAATTGGCTTTGCACGCATTGCATAGCTGAGTCCCACTGGAGTCGACGGCCTCGGCCATGACATATAAAGTACACATAGGAAATACACCACAACAACATGTCGCACCATATCCTCAGGCTGGCACGTCGCAAATGCCTGGCAAAGGTTCTATTCACATGCACACACACACACAGAGACAAAGAGACGGCGACGCACAGACGTACGTCAGTACAGCTACTAAAACGTGCACAATGCACTTAACAAGAACAGTCGATACAACATCAAAACTGGCAGAGTCGGTACTGTTTCCAAAGCCCCATCCTTCGCTCGCAGCAGCACCGGCGCGAGAGCCAGCAATGGCGCCACCTATAGCGCCAGCAAGAGCGCCAACGGGGCCGAGGACTGCCCCAGCCAGCATGGAGCCACCTCAGACGCGAGATTCAGGTCTGCAGGTTTAGAAACAGCGTTGATGCACCACATATGCCAAGCTGCTTTGCGTACACACACACACACACTTGCATCAGACTGCGTGATCTGAGGTGACGTCGGTGATGTGGTGGGCCACCCATGCACATGTCCAGACCCTTGCTTTCTTCAAGTGCAGCATGATACAAGCAACTCTTGCTAGCCCGTTGGTACAGGGATGCCACACCCACACACATACTCTGCACTCCAACGTATCAGCGCTTCCCCGAATCCCCTACATGGGTGGGGTCGCGCTGTCCTCTGCTGGTTGGACGACGTGGTTAAGCAGCTCTCAGGCTGGAACAGCACTCCCCCGTCTCCACTACATTGGAGGGCGTCGTGCTCACAAGACAGCACTGACATGGAGGCATGAAGCATGCGAAGCCGACCTACACTTTCTTGGATTGCAAAAGTAGTGGAGCAGAAAAACAGCAGGCTCTTCTGCAGACCAACAACACTCTCCAGGGCGTTGGTCAAGTGAAGTCATAGGATCCGACATGCCCTAGACATCACGATCCTACGAGCCACAGCAAAGCTTACCGACAATCAATCGTAAAGACCGATCGTCATTGGAGCCTGATTTCAGAGTGCCGGGTTTCAATTGTGAAACCATTCGAACAAAAGCCAAACAAGAAGAGTCGCAGAATACCGGGAAAGACTTCTTCCCGTCGCTCGAAAGTCAGGAAAGTCAGAAGCTTCGGTTGAGTTATTGTGAAGTCAGGATGGTAGGGTCAACCCCCTGTGCAACTGGCGCCCGAGGGAAGGCCATACTGAGACACGCTTGCATCCGACCTCCTGATCAGAGATGTCGTCGGTGATGTGGCTCAGCTGTGATGATGCTTCTACCCTGCGATGCTTTTGTCTCATTGTCGTTTCCATCACACCGGGACTCCAGGCTCATCTACTGATCCAAGAGTAACTGACATGTGCACGGATCTCGGTAAAGCCATGGCAGTCACTCTAGACTTCAAGCAGACTGAATCCCGCGCTTTCAAAACCGCGAAAGATCTCTCTGTCTGACAAGAAGTTAAAAGCCAATACGTTTCCAGAGGACGTCTCCCGAGCATATCAGCATGTGCAAAGGCCCTCTTCGTTGGGTGACCAATGCACATGTCCAGTGCCCTGCTTTCTTCAAGCGTAGCACTCTTGCTGGCCCTTTAGTGCAGGGATGACAACCACAAATGCTTTGACGAATTCAATTTCGCCTGAGGGCACGGCAAGTAGTACAAAACATCAAATTCATTCACGAGTAACACATAATTCGACAAGACACAGGGACGAATAGATTGACTTTTTTGCTCGATGCCGTGACATAGAGTTTTCACGGAACCACCAGACAAACAGACACATAAAGAGTTGACACATAAAGAAATAGATGAATAGATAAAAAATGAAAAAAACGCTAGATGAATAGATGAAGGCCAGCAGACAAACAGTGACAGGCAAGCAGGCTGACCAACATACGGCATTCCGAAGAGAAATGAGGTCATAAACACCGATCAATCGAGAAACTGACCGGCGAAAGCCGGAGAGAATGACAAAACAGACTCGGCCAAACGAACAGGACTGACAGACAAGCTGACCGACTTACACACACAGAAGCACGAGAGCAAGTGAGAGCCGGAGAGAAAAAGATAACGACAGAAAGAGAAAGAGAGGGCGAGAAAGAGAAAGCAGAAAATTACACTTCAAACTCCGAACAGGCTGATCTCGCCCCGAAAGCCTCGCACAGACTGCGCCACCACTAAGCTCGTGACCTACAGAGCCACCCAGTGAACCCGCAATGCTGCCACCCGTTTGGTAGGCGTCCCGGTGCTGAACCGAGGTGTCCATCCTGCAAGGCGATGAGTCTGGATGGGCTGCCGATGGGCCGTGGCGTATCTGCGAAGAAGTCGCGGTCGCCGGCAGCGCTCGCACACCAGGACCTTCCGCTGCCGGACATACCTCGGCAAGAGAAGTCTGGAGGCCCTCTTACGCCAACCAAAAAGCTGCCTCTCATGGTGCTTCGCGCATTGGCATACTGCTTTTGGCCAGATGCTGCTCGTTCACGGTCTCGAAGGGCATGCTCCGCACTTGTTCAAGGCTGCACTGACCCGAGACTACGGCTTGAGAAAATACCGCGGCCAGCCAGAGCTGCAGAGAAGTAAGTATCACCCAATTAATCAGGGCAAGCGTTCTTGGAAGGTCCCCTCGAGCTCGACACATCCGAGAATCATCAAAGTCGAAACACAAGCAGAACATCAAGAGCCCGGCATGCCCTCTCCGAGATCGCATCGCAAGAGAGCCTGCTTGAAGTTCCAGGCTCGAACATGTATTGCACCAGAAGCAAAGCAAGGCCAAGTTTAAGCGTTGCAAACCACGCATTCAGACAATTGCGGGTGTGATGCATGCGTGTGTGTGTGTGTGCGATAGCGTGTTTCCACCCTGCATTGCTACAGCTTCTTCTGCACGCATGCCCACCGGCAACTACTGTGAAAGACATGCTGTGACAGTCGGGGCCAGGGTGCTGTGCCTAGAGATTCCAGCATAGGTCTTCGCAGCAACATCCAGATCCGGCTCGTGACCTCGAGCATCGTGCAGCTTCAGTTGCACAAGAACGCCCACTGGCCAAGCCCCTATCACACAGAAGCCTTTCACACGTGCCGAGGCCGACGACGCAGCAGACGAGATCTGACATTCCCCTGTCCATCGGTCCAGGTGGCCTCAATGCCGGCGGAATTACCACAAGGAAAGCTGCGGGTGGCAGTCCTGAGGCAAGTGCTGTCTGAATGCCATACTTCATCAGAAGCTGCATGCATCCTCTGGAGCAAGGCTCAGCCCAATTGAAGCCGGGGCCGATGTCAGCCAATTCCACCACCAGCATCTCAGCCTTAACAAATCTGTGCTCAAGGTCGGGCCAGTCGGGCCCGGGCATGACTTCGACTGCTTTTGCTCTGACCGCCCTAGCCTGCATGGATGACAAGGACAGGAGCTCGGGCACCTGCAACAGGCAGTGGACCTGTCAGATGCGCAAAGCTGGGCTTCGAGTTCGCTCGTGCCCATCCTTGAGCCTCGGCGTGGCGCTGCGCCGTGCGGGGCTTGCTGCGCTTCCAGGAAAGTCCCGCGGATCTGGCCTGCGAGAAATGCCCGAAGATCTGACAAGTTGTCAAAACGGCGGGAAAGATGCTATCAGAGTTTCCAGGGATGACCATCAAAAGGGGCTTGGGACACAAGGAATCTGCAGAAAGCTGCGGGTCGTCAGAAAGCACCGGCAAGCCTAGACTGCTTCAACGGCACAGCATTTTCCAACTTGCAAAAGCGTCTGGGTTGGGCCTCTTCGAAACTGTCGAAGGTCCGGCATCGTCCACCAAACCTTGACGGAACTGTAGGCCTATCGGCTGTGAGTCTATGACCTTGCAGCTTGCATTCCCTTCCTTTCGCAGGGCGTATTAGCGAACTTTGGAGGCGGGTCAGGCCTCCCGCCGCGCTCTGTTTCTTTTGCTTTGCTTTGCTAGGGGGTTGAGGTGCTGGCAGCCCCAGCACCCCGCTCTCTCTCTCTCTCTCTCTCTCTCTCGCTTGCCTGCTTGCTTGCATTCGGCATGAGGTCCCGAAAGACCCCCGGCCCGAGGGCCTACCCCTCGGCTCGCGTCAATCCGTCCGCTCGGAACTCTCTCTCTTCCTCTCCGCCTTTCTCTAGGGCTCTAGGAGCTTGGTAAGCTTGGCACTCTGGATCAGGACCACGCGGTCCAAGTGGCAGGGCGAAGTGATTGAATCCCCGTGCAAGGATTTGCGGCTCGCCTCGCAGAAGCCAGGATGGCCCCCCTTCCCGTCATTGCGATCCTAAGAAAAAGCAGCCAAAGTGCAAGTTTGTGGCAATGTCCTTGCGGCAACCGCTCCGTCCAAGCCGGGCTGTGCGAGTGATTTGCGCTCCCCTGATTCGCACTCCTCGTCCTAGCCGGTCCTAGCCAAACAGTGCCGACCACGTACGTATAGAAACGGATATGCTTGCCAGACAAGCTTGACTTCAAGCTGGATGGCAGCGCTTGCATAGAAGCAGGCTTCGTTGAATTCATGTCGTGTCCTGGCTTTCTGCACAGGTGCAGTCTTTGTCCAGGACTCTGGAAAGCAAGAGGCAGCCGGATCTGGAACACACAACATTGTCACTCTCCGGAACATCTCATTAATCATCCAAGCAGGCCCGAACTGCTGCCCAATGCATCATGTAAAGAAAACCTCAGATGCATCAGAAACACCTGCTCGACCTTTTGCTTAACTCTGGAGTTCTTGCTCAGTATAGCCAAAACACTCATGAGGAAGCACACGACTTTCGTCTGAACCCGACGGTCCCCGTGTAAACTTATTGAGGCCTGAACCATGACACCTTAACACAAGAAGGCACAACCAAGCAGCTGCGATGACGGTGATGTTGTCAGCCTTTGTTCTGTTGATGCGGTTCTCTGTGAGCGCGAACTCTACCAGCACCTATCACAAAAATGAAAGCAGATTCGGTCCGCACACAGAGATGCCCAGCCCAGCTTGCCCTCTAGCCACATTGACTCTTCCACTGTCCTGCTAGCGTAACTAGCCACATTGACCCTTCCACTGTGCTGCTGGTGTAACCTAGTTGTATCTGAAATTCTCGCTGTCATCAGTTCTACAGGGGCACTTGAGCTGCATCCAGATCTCGCTCCGCTGCCTGCAATGCAGAGATCCAGCAGCAACATCCTCTAAAGGCCTTCCGACCACAGCTCCTGAGGGCGTGGCATCCATAGCCAAGTACACCGCCTTTTCCTTCGCTCACCGCGGATGGACGGCACGCAGCAACCACTGGCCAAGTCAGCCTAGAATCTAGAAAAGAAGAGACGGAGCTAGAAGGACGACCCGCCTCGGAGCAGACATCCCACAAACCGTCGGATGCCATGATGAGAACCTGCTCGATACAGGCGACTGCATGTCCATCCAGGTTTCCATGTTTCTGCCTTGTGTTGTTCATTCAAGACGACCTGGCGGATGTCGGGTTGATTGGACAAGCCATACGGCTTTAGATCCTGCAGCAAGACAGAACGCGTCCCACAGGACTGGGAACCGAAACTGCCACGAAGTTCGGCCCTCCTTCCCGCCAAAGGCTCGCGAGTATGCAAGCTGCCGGGGATTATCTCCACGAGCCTCTACAGCATGTCAGGCATGCGGGCTACACAACCTGTGTGCAAAAACAAAAGCACGGAATGATGCATTGATATGCACTGTTAACCGTGGAAGGTGTGCCAACATACCCTACATCTGACCTTCCTCTCGCCAAAATCGCCACCACATAGAAAAGCGCGCATGAGCCTTGAGACACACATGAATGAAACGTCGCCATGGGCGACGTATGTACACCGACTCATGCTTACAGGTGGTTACAGGCATGTGTCCGTCTTCGCTGGCTGCGGTCAAACTAAGTCTTCTTGCCAACCTTGGCTCTCCTTTTGCCTGAGGCTGGTGTGGGGTCGAGCAACATGCCGCGCCGGTCGTCTACGCACTGTACGACTCCTCCAGAATCCTGGCCAGCGACGATGCTTCAGACCGTGCGTGCCTGAACAAAGCTCCCACTGCAGACCTCAATCCTCTGTCGCTCGCTCGGCGTGTTTGGCCTGGCATCTGTGCCCTACGCACAAGCTTGCTTTCCATCGCTCATGCAATCTTCCCTCAACGAAGCCACTCGTACTTGTGGGCCACGGTCAGGGCATCAGCATGCCAGTCGCCGTCCTCGCACGGCAGAAGCGAGCGCTGAGGGCAGGTGAGGCTGGTCCGCCACAGGTTGGGTTTAACCTGGGTTCGAACAACCCCCCCCCCCCGCCCCCGGGGAGGGGGGGAACAACAACAACAACCCTGGGGTCAGGGTTCCGGGTTGGGTTTAACCCGCAGGTTCAAACCTGGGTTGAACCTGGGTTCGAACTCGGGTTGAACCTCAGGTTCAACTCGGGTTCGAACCCGGGTTCTAGGGTTGGGTTCAACCCCAACCCTGAGGCTGGGGTTCGAGGTCGGGTTCAACCCAAACCCAAACCTTCAGCGGCGGCAAGGGTTCGGGTTCGGGTTGAACTCAAACCCAAACCTTCGAACCCGGGTTCATCCTCACCGGGGGTTAGGGTTTGGGTTGAACACAAACCCAAACCCTCCCCCTCCTTCCAGGACCCCCATCGCACCCCTCCTCGACTCTCCGCTTGTGACGTAGGACAAGGCCACACCGAAAACGCTTTTGGGGGGACAACGGAGAAGGCAGGAACCAAAAGCCGATCTTTCAAAAGCAAGAGAAAAAGCCACGCGAAAATGCTTTCGAGTGTTCCAAAGCAAAGAAAAAGCGGGGAAAGGCACACGAAAACGCTGCCGCGCAAGAGAAGACACCAGCCGAGGCACGTGCATGTGCGCAGGGGCGCCTGGAGCCCACACCGCACACGACATACGTAAGCGTGAGAGTGCCCTGCCTGGCACGTGACAGCGCCGCAGTGAGCCAGCCTGGTCCTGCAATTCGGGAGTGTCTTGGGCGTCGTGGACTGCATGCTGCGGCACAGTGCCGGGGCGCTTTTTCTTGCATCGGCGCAAACGCTCGCTAGGGCTACGTGAGATCGACCTCGTCCACGGGCGGCTCAAGCGCATTTGCTGGACGCGGACGACGCAAGCGAGTCACCGGCCGTGCGGGGTCTGCCTGAAGCAGCGAAGCTCTGCGTGGAGGGAGGTCGAGCACGCCTTGGAACGATGTGGCGATTCCACAGATCCGCGGCCAGCAGCATGTAGAGGCATAGATTGTCAAAGCGCATGCCACGAACAAGGGACTGAAAGTTGTCGGCCCAACTGTTCCACTGCTCATTCTGTGACGAGTTCAGGGACTGCAAGCGAGGATGCACAGCGAGCCGCACGAGTGGGTCGTAGAGGCGATGTGTAGGATTGAGACAAGCCTTATGCCCTTTCTCGTGGAACCGGTCGAGCACGTAGTGCATGCGGCTCAGATCCTGTCCCACTCCTGAAGGGAGCTTGGAGACCTTGTTCGCAACAAATCGTCGCAGCATGCAGGCGTTGTCATAGACAACATAGTCCAGGGCCCGGCGAGCGACGACCTCCCCCAGCATGCCATATATTTGCGTTGCGGACTCGAAGCCTGCGCACGGATCGACGTGGCAGACAGTGCGGCAAGCCAGCACCAGGGTCAGGACGCCGCCGCTGCGACGAGCACCAGGCGAGGGGGCGGGCTTGGCCAGGCCGCACCCATCAAACTCGCGCTCCATGTCCGACAAGCGTTGGCCACCCCTACTACTACGACTACTACGACTACTACTACTCAGTTTTGGTAGTACTCCGGCTGCAACCACGACCAGCACTTCTGTCTTCTTTGCCCTCCTGCTACAGCGGGTCTTAAGAAGAGCTAGAGGAAGACGAAGAAGAAGAAGACTGCTCAGAAGAGGACCTGACAGCGTGGGTTTTGGCCTGGCCAACACAAAAAAAAAGAGTTCAGCAGATCAAACACAAACAAACCAGCCAGCAGCACGTACTTGGACAGTTTGGTGCGGTGTGAGTTGCACACCACATCCCCGCGCGTTAAAGGTCCGCCAGTCCTTCAGAAAGCGGACAAACAACGTGGTAGTTGCAGCAACTCGAGGCCGAAGCGTTTTTGTCATGCGTAGCTTCAAGGCGGCGCGGATCAACCGCCGCTTTGCCACGCCGTGGGCCAGGGCATCCATCTGTGGGCAACAAACAAGAATCAGTTTAAGCAAAAAGAAATCAGGCCTTTCCACAGAGGCAGCACTTCTTCTTTGGAATGGAGTTTTTGAATGTTGGACCTGAGACGAGATGTGATAGAATTGATGCAGCAAAAAAACACTCGAGCTCGCAGCGAAGTTTTGTCTCCAGTTCTGCCAGAATCGTGGACGGAAGTCCCTGCAGATCAAGTGACGCAGAACAGAAGAAAAGAGTTCAAGATGCCTGGAGCCAGTCGACAAGAGTGTCCAGGTACTTGGCTTGCGAGAATCGGTCCACAAAAATCCGCTTCCGCTCTGCATCAGATCGCCTCCGCTCTTTATCAGATTGTTCCCTGCAAGCACACGCAAGTGATGGAAACTGAAACCGAGTAAGACTATTGAGCCTGGCCATGCTGGGCTGGACTCTAGAGAAGCTTCGAACGGATGTTGCCACAGCAGAAGACGGCTGCAAGAAAGTCAATCTTTGAAAAATCACTTTTGGTGTTCGGCTTGTCGGTGGCATCAAACTTTGAAATGTGTCGGTAATCGCACGGATACTGAGCAAAGTTTGGCGAATATCAAACTTTGACGCCAAAAATCAACCTATGACAGCCCAAACTTTGATACGGAAGGTTCGGAGTTGAGTTGAACTCAAACCCAAACCCCAGAACTGAGAGTTGGAAGGTTCAGGGTTGAGGTTGAACCAGAGTTGAACCTGGGGTTGAATCCAATTTGAACCCGAGTTCGAATCCGAGTTGAATCCAGAGTTTAACTTGCGTTGAAACCCAGGTTCGAACCTGGGTTCAACCTGAATTGGAACTGAGGTTCCAAACCCGGAGTTCAACAACTTTTTTTGGTCTGAAGTTGTTCAAACCCAGAGTTGAAACCAGGGTTCCGGCAAACTCTGACCAAACCCAACCCTGAACCCTGCCCGAAAAGTTCCGAACCCAGGTTTAACCCCAACCTTGAACCCACCCTCCACGGACCAGGGGGGGCAGGTGATAAGCATTAGCTTGACCCCCAAGCACAAGCGAGAACGGTGGCATAGCCTTCACAGCTGCAACCAGCCTTTCGGCCCCTCGGTAGCTACGAAGAAGGTTGGATATGGTTGGATTATGACTGCTACCTTCTTGCACTTCCTGTTTCCCTTCTGTTTCTCCGTTCTGCCGATGCCAGGTGAAGCTGCACTGACACCACATGAAGACAGTCTTCGAGTGCGTCCCCATTTTGGCCCGCTCGGACTGAAGACGAGAGGATAGTCCAGCTGCCAACTGAGTTCGATTTCAGCGGCTCCTCCATATAGCCGAGCACAGCATGAGAATCGCCAAGGTGGGCAACCTTCAGCACTTGAGAGAAACCACAATAACCGACAAAAGCAAACAAGGCCAAGGCCGTAAGTACTCCACCAGCAACCAGCACCATTACGCCAGTGCAACTGGAGTAGTGATTCCTCGAAGAAAACAGAACTGAGCTTGCAGGGCGTTGGACAGACTTGCATATGCTTGGCTGCAAAGACTACTCGGCCGGAATGATCACAAATCTGCACAGTGGCTGCGCGTCCCGACATTTCTGAAGGACGTCCTGGCCAAATGTTTCAGGTGATGCCGCCATGACACTTGGCTGCCTTACTTGCCCAAGTCGTCTCCTCGTCAGCACTGAGGACGGCTTCCTTGAGACTGGCCTGCCGGCTGTTGTGGCAGGTCGTGTGGACCTCGACCGGTCTGACATTGAGACTGGCCTGCAGCAACTCCATCTTGGCAGACAAGGCCGTGTCTGTTGAGGTGGAATCTCGGTGTAGCTCCTGCCGTCTACATCACTGGCATCACTACAGCCCCTCGCATTTTGTGAGTGCTTGTCCTGATACGAGGCCCAACCAGCTGTCTGCAGAATGCTGGGCAGCACCAAGCGTTGCACCTGCAGGTCCACAGAAGCGGACAAGCATAATGTGTGGTGAAGCGTTTCAGCAGAGCACAGGGAGTTTTCATGACAACGCTCTAAACTCTACGACGAAACCTTTCCCCTCGACCAAGTACATCACGCTAGTCAAGTCTCTGCGGCCACATGTTTACTCACTTGTACTGACATCAAGTGCAGCCAGCCTGGTCAGCGGCGAAATCATCCACCGTTCCGTCCCAGATGCCAAAAAATGCCGAATCATCGCGGTCTGTCGCCGTGGCATTGCATGCAACCACACACCGACAGAAAGGCACAGACAGCACGTTGCCGGCGGCCTAGAAGTGGGCAAATGGCCAGACGATCCTCCTGTGTCCTGCAAAATAATCAAGTTTCAGAGAGAGCTATTCCTCCCATCCTGTCGCACCAATGGACACCTGTCATCACATGTCCAGTTTCCCACCCAAAGCCTCCGACCACCCAGGTTCTGCCACGCGCCTACGACCCACCTCAGCTTGCACTAGCCCCGCGTTCAGAGACCGCGCCGTCGAGTTACAGCATCAAGTGCTCACTACCTACCAGCACAAGTTCGGACATGATGCGATCCAAGCATCTAGCTAGCACAGCAATCGAGTTCTTTCCTGAAGTCCCTAGGGCTGGGGGTCAAGGCCGGCCACCCAGTTCATGTTTTTTCCTCCATAGATGAAGCCACCATACAGATGCATGGCTAAGCGTCTTCACCTACATTGCACAAGAACCGTAACCGCTTCAACATGCAGAGAGCCTCAGTCAGCAATGGGCATAAATCTCTTGATTGAGCATCAGACCGTGGGTAGGCCGTCTGCTCCAAGTAGGGGTCATGTATGATGCACAGGTCGCTTGATCCCTAGCCAGCAAAGCGGAAGCTTTGTCAAGCGAGGAGCAGTCGGGGAGTCTCGACAAGTCCCACGTGCCTTCATGCGCGCTGTGCACCAGGCGGAAGTGGCTCCGACATCTCTCAAGGAACGCGCTGCTTCGTCTGCCCCCTACGATGAGCCAACGGCAGCGCCCCGCGGTTGCGGGAAAAAAGGCAAGCCTGGAGGGGATCCAGCAAGTGAAACAAAGCCTTTGGCCTTCTCTCCGGTCAACCAGAAGGGCTCCATGCCGACGAAAAAAAACGCCACCAGCCTGACTTCAAGACGTGCGGCGCAAGAAAAAGATCCACTCGAGTCATCTGTCCCAGTTCTTTGCACGAGCAACACCGCGGTCCCCACGCGAGGGCCTCACCGTGCGTGGCAAGGGCCGCGGCCTCCTGAACCAGATCTGCCATTCCTGGGAAGGTCCCATTCGAGGAGACATGAGGAGACCCAAGAAGGCAGCGAGCGAGATGCAGTCAAGGTGCGATTCGGCAGGCTCTGCTGAAAAAGTCCCAGCTCCTCGGTCGTCTTGCGACAAGTAGATAAGTAGACTAGCAACTCCCTCTTCGCTGTCTCAGTTTGAATTTCTCATGCAGCAGAGCACCTCCAGTCGGCGAAGAAACGCCGGCTGCAAGGCAAGGCGAAGATCCACCTCGGCCAGACGCCAGTTGCGATATGTTGCAGACACTGCTTGTGATCTCAGGATTCGGCGCCGGCGTCCTGCAGTAGTTCTAAGCTCCGTCGAAGGCACTGCCGGTCCGAAATCTCCAAGCAGACCTTGCAGAAAACAGAGCATGTAGGCTGCAGACCGGCCTCGGGTCAGAGGCCGGGCCACAATGCGAGCAAAGAGCGGAGAGAAGCAGGACAGTGCCCTCCACATCCACCGAGGGGCCCTGGCAACACCCAGGCAGAGCAAAGTCAAACTCTCATGCACAGCGCTGGAAGAAGGTCTATGTCCCCAATTATGAGGAAGGGTCGGATGGACGAGCGTCATGAGGCCAACAACGAATTGACGCAGCTGCCATGCTTGCATCATACAGTCATGTCGCATGCCCCCATGATTCCTGTATGTTGCATTTTGTGAATGCAGGCCCTTACCTAGTCGAGACAGGTTAGGACACGTAGCCTGATCCACCGAGGACCAGCATTCGGCTGCCTGCTTCAGCCTTACCGCAAGGAGCCCGCACAAAACTCGCTTCCAGCGCCATCCTGCACGGGAGTCCCGGGCCTGTCTGCTCGGGGCTTCGTCGGCTTCGCCTCCTCATTTCTACCACTCACCCTGCTCTCACAGCTACAGGCAGCAAAGTTAGAGAAGCAAACTCCTCCAGCCACTTCGGGATAAGTTCGGTTGCGAGCAAAGACCTATGAATTGCCATGAAAGTCAAGAGCACTCAGCGCCCTGCAGCCCGGGAATGTAATGGTTCTTTCAACTCCTCGAGGGCCTAGCAAAGGAGATCTTTCCGGAGATGTACCACATCCCGCCGAAGACCTCCTGCACCCCAACACATCTCCCACCCCAGCAGGCAGAGGAGGAATGCTCGGTCCTTTGTGACACCAACTCCTGCAGAGCGCATAAAAAGCATGGGCCCTTGCTCATTCAAGTCTGAGACTGCCGAACCTCAGCAGCCTCATCGTCGGAAGGACAACACCAGCGCAGCGCACGCTGCAGCACTGGTTTGGCAAAGCTATCAAGCTCCACCTTCCCGGGACAAAGACAGATGGAGCCAGCACTTGCAGGAGGCTGACACAGACAGCGTGCTCTTCGGAAGCAGTGTAGTGCCTCGGAGAGTGTCAGCCCACGGTGATGCTCAAGCCGGCCCAGTACACCCAGCACCTGCACCGATAAGAAGCTGCGCCGGGGGCAGTCTCTGCGGCGTTCCTGGCTTTCGCTCTTATCACGACCTGTCGAGCTAAGCATTTGAATGCATTTGAAAAGGTGGCGAGTGCCTCGAGTTGTCTTGCGAGCGGGTCACTAGGTGGAGTTGGTGCAGGACATCTAGACCTATGTTTCGAAAGACCCTCTGGGGCACGAAACCCGCCGCCCCGCAGTGCAGCAAGCCACTTCTTCTAGTTGGGAGCCTTAGCGTTTCACCTTTCCAATGGTCGGCCGCGCCGGCCCGTGTGCTGGCGCCGGGAGGTGTGACTTTGCAACCGCTCACTGCAAAGCAGTGGATGGCCCCAACTTTACCAACCTAGCCAACTTGCTGTAAAGTGCTGTGCCAAGGGCCCATGGGTCCGAACGTCAAGCATTTCTCTGCTCGATCGCTTTTGAAGCCGTCGGACCACTTTACTCTTTATACGGCACCCTGAACATGTTGCCCGCATTGCTGAGACGAGACAGCCACCTCGTCAGCGAACATCGCATCCTCCCGCACCAGAGCCGCTCGCAGCAGCCCCCGTGCCCTCCGGACAACACCAGGAGTCTCTGCATACTACTGAGCGGTGTTTCGGATACTCCCACACGGGAAAAGACTGCAAGGGCTGGCAGGTTTGCAAAACAATACCTTTTTGGCAGGCCGGCCGTCTGGAAGGTCCATTTGTACAGCATGCTCAGTTGCTCGTCTCATGCTTCAGGGATGAGACGGCCCCAGCATGTCAGAGTCGACCATGCTCTTGCTCGACGTCGCGACATAGACCAATCGGTCAACGGTCAAGCATGGACTAAACCATGCGAAGGCCAGGGAAACTTAAGCTCGGTCCAAACTTTTAAGGCTGTTAAAGCTCTGCCGACACAGGAATCGGCTTCGTAGCCAATGTCTTGACGAAGGCTGCCACCTGTTCAAGGATGTCACGCAGTGCACGGAAGTACTAAGATGCTGCAAAGAAGCCCCGGGCCGTCTCCCTGGCGAGCTTCATGGAAAGGAAAGTTCCAGGACAGCCACGCGGTGCTGCCGGGCATCCTGCTCTAAACGGGAGGATGTCTGCTGAGGGCCTGGAATCCCCAGCGGCCCTACTGCATGACAACATCATTACTCTGTAACTTTGCGAGCCTGCGACGGTGTCACAGGTCTTGAAGGCACCCCACTCCTCACACTCCGGGACTGACATGGCAAACACTGAGTGGTCATATGTACCTTTACCGAGACCTCTCAACTAGAGGCAGGTATCGTTATTCCACGACAGCAGCCTCTCCGCCTCGGATCTTGGCACGCCAAAGAATTGATGAAGCCAGATCCGATCATAACATTTGTGCTACGTCCGCTATGTGCTGGGCACGTTGCATTCTCACGACCAGGAATGAACTTGTCAGCATCCTTGAACACTGAAGGATCGTGGTTTGCGCCGCTGCTCAGCATCATCGTGAGCTCGCCTTTTTTGCGTCTCTAAAAAATTACAAATAACAATATTTAAAAAAAACAACACCTCCGGAGAGGCGACACGCAAACGCACGGCCTTCACGGGCGGTCCACGTCTTGCCGATGGAGTTGAAGTGGATTTGAGTGGACTTGCGGAATTGAGCTGGGTTCATGCCCCCGACAGGCGGCTTGATGCGAGCCGCCTCCAACCTCAGAACCACGTGCAAACAAGATGTGGAGCATCGAGCAGACCCCAAGTTCGTGCCTGACGAAGGGCATAAATGCATCAGCATCTCGTTGAAACATAGGAACGTAAAGGCCAGGATCCTCTTGACCGGAAGTCTGCAGACAGTGAAAAAGACAAGGGTGACGTTGGCATGTCCTTCAAGATCAGCCGCAAGGTTTCGTATGCCAGATTGCCTGTTCCCCCGTATCCAGCAAAAAGAGCGATCCACACCATCTCATCCAAGCGCTGCTTGCCCGACCTGATTCGTAACAGATTGGGCAGCGGTCTAAGAACCAGGAGCAAGCCGTTTCCAAATGCAGAAAGGCAGCATACCCCGTTCTGTTGCCAAGGCGATGAAGTTCCGGGCGATTTCTCCAGCTTCCACCTTCTTCATGACGGTGGAACGAATCTCAGACAGCCTTCGGCCTGGAAACACGGGCCATCTGTCTGTCAGTTCATGTCAGTTCAGTCTCTGTGCTTTATCGGATACCCATGCCTGCCTTGGAAAGCTAAGACAGGTCCTCCCAGCACTGCAGGTGTGAAAGTGCCGTCCTGGTGAATGCGCACCGATTCACAGCAGTCACATGTCAGTGGTGGGGTAGCGATGCGGGATCCTCGAACCTAGCGACTTGGCCACCTCGTCAAACTACAGTAGCAGGTATGCAGAGTACGCAAGCCTTCTTCAAGATTGTGCAAGAGAACATTCACACATGACTGTAGAACGGCGCAGGAAGCAGGAAGTTCGGTGTGGTCTTGTCAATGTCGTCAATGTGTCAAAGGTACGACCATGGGCCGTGGGCCGATGCATCTATTGACCGTCCCGACTGGATGCTGCAAGTTGCAGCTTCCAGAATACCAGCGGTACTCTATAACGGCCCTACGAGCTTCCAGCGTGTTGCTCCACTGATGCATGCAAGTCTCATATTCAAAGATGATTCCAAGCTCCGCCCCAACGTCGACCCCAAATAATGCTCGGAACCTGGTGACAAACACAAGCCAAAGCTGGCCAGGAAATACGAGTTCCGAGTTAGCTTTCGAACGCCAAAGCACAAATTGAAGCCCACCGTGTCGAAAACCGCGCGCTTGCTGCTTCCGTCCACTGATGTGCCCGGGGGAACTTGAAAGTCCAGTTGGAACTCCTGCCCGAGGCCTGGAAGCCTGAGCTGCAGTCAAGACCGACCTGTGCCTGAGCGGGATGCGCCGACATTCGCAGGCGACCGAGCGACGCATCCGCCAAGAGCTTGCGACGAGCCGTGTGTTCAGCAGAGCCGGTGTCGAAGTTCAGCAGAATGTCTGGAGACAGGTCTGGAAGAACTCCTCACGTCTTCGACGTTTGCGCTCGCTACTGTACGTCTGGCTTTTGGTCTCTGCAGCATTGTTCGTCTCAGATGTGACCTGCACACTCAAGTGACCACACACCGTATAAAGGGGCACATGGGGCACCAGCGCCACCCCTGTAAAGAATCTCAACTCAGCACTCCTGGCGGCAGCGACGTCTTGTTCGATGCCACCATCATGTCCGCGGGTCGGCCGGCTGCCGCATCGTGGGCCCAGCTCTTGTAGGCAGAATGCGAAAAATGCACCGTTCCCACTTCTTAGCGCAGGTAGACGCTTGAAGATAGACCCATGATGCAGTTACAGCACGGGAAGACATCGCCACGTGAAGGAAGTATGCCTATGTCTCTATTACACTCCGGAGCACTGTCCCCATGGAAGGCCATGCTGGGGGCAAAGACTGCCCCCAGTCCGATGCCTGTCTCCCACGTAAACGTCTCAATGAGTTCTGTCGCAATCTCATCCTTGACGCAGCCCAAGTAGTCGCCGAGACAATACGTGAAGTGGCGGCCTCGACAACATCTCGACCGAACAACAAAACGAGGTCCTGAAAAGCTGCCAGCACGCGACATCCGCTTGCTTCGGACAATCCCACCTGTTGAGATCAGCCCAGATATGAATATTCCTGTTCCGGTAAAATGTGTCATTGATGCTTTGTGAAACTCCCGGGAGATCTCCGGAACCAGAAGGCACCCAAATAACCTCGAAGGAAAGCAAAGAACGACTTCGCGCCCTTGCAGAAGTGTCTGGTAAACGCCGAGCACAGATCTGTCCAAAGTGCAATCGAGCAGCCCCGCAAAAATGAGCAGGGAAGATGCAACGATGCAACCGGCACCACAAGCACACATGGTCACACACATGTGGAAAACTGGCCCGTCTTGTGCGCTGCTTTGCATTTTACAGCCTGGAGAAAGACTACACTACGCTGCGAGCTTCAGTTTTTGTTTAGACTCTCCTTCAAGTGCCTTGCCTTGTGCCTTCTCTTGGCTTCCAGCTATGACGACCGAATGCTATAAATTGCACTGCTCGGCTAGAGAGAGAGAGAGAGAGAG